AGCATCCCTAATGAGAATGGTCAAGCCGCTATCTATTTGAGTTTTTCCAGGGCTCCCACTAAACATCAACAAAGACTTCTATGCAGCAGTAGGTGTATTACTGAGTACTCTGCAAAAGGCTGTTGTTAATACGGTAGTTGTGTTGTTTTTTTCTTACCTTCCTTCTTTGCTAACGATGGAGCCATTAAAGAGAGTCGAGAGTTTAATAACACGGAGACAACGGCATTCACTATTAAGTTTCTTTTTTTTTTTTTTCATTAAGTTTTATTAAACACTTTTACTGCCAGTAAGATTTATGATTATTTCTGTAAACAGTGTGCTGTTGTCTAAAAATCTGAATTTTGCATCATGACCTGCTGTGTGAGCATAGACTGTGTCATCACTAGGGCTAAATGCAAATACCCAAACAAAAACCCATATAATGGGCCTTATAATCCAACACAACTGACACATACTTCTCAACTATATGTGTCTCTAATCTGTAATTCTTTTATCTGCTATTATCTGTCATTATTTAAACCCAAATTTTATATATATATATATATATATATATATATATATATATATAAACCGTATTCTAACTTTCCTGTATAGTCTGTATGTAGATTCCATATTTATTTATTTTATAGCCTCTTACACTTACTCTCTTTTTATATATGCCGTTTGTATTCTATACATGCATAGTCTCTGTACATGTGTACATAAATATTTAAATTCTTTATAGCACTTCTGGATAGAAGTGGATTTGGCAAACTAAATTTTGTTGCTTTGTAGTTGTGACATGTAATGACAATACAATTGAAGCCTATTCTATTTAAAGTTTATCAAGGCCCAAAATTAAGACATAGCAAAAAGCATTTATCATTAATAGCACTTAATAATGTTCTACACATAGAAAAAAATCCACCAAAAAAGATATGTTCATATCAAAATAAAGCACTATCGCCAGAAATGTTCACTTAGTGTTTACATTGTTTTACGCCACTGCCATGTGCTTAAGCATGCATCAACTTTTCAGATTTATGCATTCTGACATAAACAAAATGCATAAAATGCAAACTCCTCTTAAACAAATGCACTAGCCTTGTCATAAAAAGGACAGATATTGCCCCCACAGTTTATTTTCTACCAAAAGAATTGACTCACTTTTCTCCTTGCAGCTTGTTGGTTTTTACGATGAGGTCTTGAGTTTGCTCTTTTGCAGCCTATTGAGGAGAGGGAATGCAGTAATTTGCAAAACCAATGTCTACAGGGTTAAAGTTAATGCAAATATATAAAATCTCCGTAACAACAAACTCAACAATAACCAACACATGCAAATCTCAGTTTCATACCTTTAATCTATTGGTCATTTCTTCACAGCATGTGCTCATGGCCTGTACATCCTCATGAACACTTTCAAGCTCCTTTAGGGAAAGCAAAACAAATATTTATATATATTATATATATATACTATATTTATCCTTGTTGGATTTATTGT